GACAGCGACACCACAGTGATTGAACCGTGACCCTGGTTCTGCAAGTTTTAGACCTTAAGCAACAAACAAATAAATGCTTGGGAGGAAAACAGAACTCTCTAAACTCAGTAAATAGTTTCAGAGTGTTTAAAGATACGTATTTTTCAACTGCAGTTCTAGTTTGGCAGAGGAACATAAAAATTTTTAAAGGAAAAAAAGTGCAGATAAGTGAATTCAGGGCTATTTTTGTGCCTCTTGATGACAAGTTCTTGCTAAACTTGGCTCGGGAAAGGGTCATAATGAAGAACTGTTTTCAGCAGCCTGGGTGACATCTGATTCGCACACATCGCTGTCATCTATTCCAGGCTTTCCAGATTTCGTATCTATAAACCATTGGAATGTTTTGAAAATTTCGGAGTAGTCAGACTCAACTACATATTCAAGGCTTCTGGGCACATTAGGTGCTCAGTGAATGTCTGTTCAATCAGTGAGTCAAGGAGGGAATATACCTTACACCTAAATACGGCAAAGAAAAGAGTCCCTGTTCAGATCTTGTATTCTATTTTTTCTTATGATAAATTCTGCATCCGGTAACGTTCTAATTTTTTATTCAATCACAAAAGGCTTTAAGACTAGGGGCTGTGATTTTAGTTGATATAAAATTAAAGGAAAGGGCATCTTGCCAGTTACTAGTAGGTGAATCTTGGGGCAAGTCATTAATACTACACCAATTTGTGTTTCCATTTCCTTCTCTACAAAATGGGCATAATTATAATAGCAACTCTCTGACCAGGCTGGGGTGAGGATTAATTGAGAGCTTAGCACATAATAGCACATAATAAGTTCTCAACAAATGTCAACGTCATCCTTGTTAAGAGCAGAAATATTAAAAAGACTACAGATTTTTATTAGCACCTTGTATTCTTTTCCTAGGGCTTCCATAACAAAGTACCACAAACTGGGAGGCTTAAAACAACAGAAGTTTAGTCTCTCGCAGTTCTAGAGGCCAGGAGTCTGAAATCAAGGTGTCAGCGGGGCCACGCTTCTTCCGAGACCCTAGGGAGGAATTGTCTGCCTCTTCTAGTGTCTGGTGGCCTCAGGCATTCCTTGGTCTGTGGCAGCAAAACTCCCATCTCTGCCTTGATCGCCACATGGCCCCTTTTCTGTTTGTCCGGGTGTCTCCCCTTCTTATAAGGAAACACTCACTGGATTTAGAGCCCACCCTAATCTAATATGACCTCACTTAACTTAACTACTTCCACAAAGACCTTATTTCCACACAAGGTCACAGCCTGAGGTTTTGGGTGAACGTGAATTTTTGGGGGACGCTATTCAGCCCACTATAGCATTCAACCACAAAATGAAACATAGAAATTTCTGTAGCCACTCTGGGTCTGTGATTAATATTTTCCCTCTTGCTTAAAAACAGAGAAGACACAGGGAGAGCATGCAGAAACATAGTGAACTATGTTTCTAATTTCTGGTTAGTAATAAAAATGACATTGATAATCATAAAATTCTTGAGCATTTTGGAGCTTGACTACCTAAGAAGGAATATTTGTAGAGAAAACTATCTTTGGCATGACCAAGCAACCATCCATTTGGTCCCCAGCACTCCTGGAGATGACAGACCCTCAGTTGAGCCTTCTACGCAGGCTGGGGTGATCCTCTGCTCCTAGAAGCATCCACAGCCTCAGCCAATGGGCTGCCCAGGAATCTGCCATGGAACGGACTTGTCCCAGCTGAGTTAAATTGCTGCCGGCTGGTGAACATCCTGAGAAGATGGGATACTGCATACTTATCCATAGACAGATGAAGTGACTGCCTATCTGGTCAGTGTTTCAAGGGTTTCCAGAATGCCCTTGTGCTGTCTCCAAAGCATGAAATGTTTCCCTGTCCGCACTCCTGTTTAAGATGCAAAACAGCCCTGGTGAGCTAACACTTTAGTGGGCGGTCAAATCTTTATGGATCCACTTGGAAAAGGCACTGGAAGCAGTGTTTTATGAGAGGTTAGAGGACAGCAGGCAGGACTTTCTTGACTCTACGGAATTGCTGGGATACTGGCTCTAGGTGGATCATCTACAGAGCAGAAGAGTTGTCACTGTGGATCTGCCTGAGTCCAAGCCTGTCTTCCTGCGCTCAGGGCAGCGGCAGTATGTGGTAATTTGATTACAAATTCAACTGTGTACTCAGGCAAAAGAAAGGGAGCTAGGGAACGTGGGTCTGGAATGTGGGGAGAGAGAAACAGAGTTGGAGATTGATATGGAGGTAGGTGTAGACATAAAGAATGTGCTCATGGCAGAGGGACGCGGAGGAGGAGGAGGATGAGAAACAGGAAGGGGGAGGAGAGAAAAACAGAAAGAATTCAAATAGTGTGGGCTATTTGCCCACCATTGTCTTGAATGGGCTAATCCCATGCAGGGGCAAGACCTGGCTGATCTGTCCCTGGTCTTGGGCTGCGTTGGGTCCAAAGCCTGTCCTAGTGTGAGCCTCTCATGTGGCTGAGTGTGATACAAGTGTCTCAAGGTTTTTATTTTCATGCAACCTGGCCCCACCAAAGCAGCTCTTGCTCCAGTGCCCATCTGAAGGGGGACTGCTTTGGATGCTTGTGGAAAAATAGGTTCTGTTACCTGAACTGAGAGATGGATTTCAGGGGTAATGTGATTACACACAATTTTCACCTGACGTGCTACTCCCTTCCAGTTAGTATAACTAGATGGTACAGTAATTTCTAGTGAATAGCTAGATATTTTCTGACCCAACACAGTTAGCGCTCAAATACCTGGGGTAAGAACTCTGTCTCCTACTATTGCTTTTCCAACGAAGAAGAAACAGTGATGAAGTTAGAGGTAATATATCATTGTGTGAAGATTAGAAAATTATAGCTAAGCAAAAAAGAAATTTAAAAATACAGGTACTCTATCCTCCTGCAAAAAATAACTACAGTTAATATTTTGGTGTGGATTCCCACAGTTTATTTGCCTTACCTCTGTGTGTTTTTGATTTTGTATAAACATGTAATCAGGCTATGACTTGCTTCCTTCACTCAGCAAAATGCTGTGAACATTTTTCCATGTCCACAAGCATAGGCCTATAGTATCAAAGGAAGGCCAGAGGGCCCTCATAGAGCGCATTCTTTGGCCAATTCATGTGGCTACTGGTTCCAGAGGCTCAGCTGTTTGGCTGCAGTGCCAGTGTAAGAAGTTGTCATGGGAACGGCTGTGCGGGAACCAGGTTACCTGGGGTTGGCGTGTGGGGGTGAGGCCCAGAGCAGAGGACGCACCGGGCTGGAAGCCTCACAGGGATCATCCTCCAGGTACATGAAGGAGCTTGTTTCAGCACAAATAAGCTCTCATGGATGGTCGCGCGATTCCTCCAAACCAGCACTCTGTCATTCTCCCAAGTCAAGAAGATACTTGACTCAGAAGGATGCTCACAAATACTTTCCAAATATGTTTTGCAGTCTTTTATTTTAATTTTTTGATTAAAACCACTAATTAAATCAAATATAAACTCACCCTACTAAACTGACATAAAAGGAATATTTGGATGTCTTTTGTGTAAACACTTTAGAATAACGTCAAAGGAAACACATAGGCTTCATTTAACTTGATCCCCAACGTCGGCTAAACTGAAGGAGATATACTCCTGCCTTTCTATTCATGAATGTTGCCTGTTGACCTCCAGAGGTTTGGTGTGAGTACTGTGTTTAACCTAACTCTCCAAAAATAAGGGGATCGTGATTTTCTTTAAATTGGTACTTACGTAGAGGAATCTCTCAGGCATTAGTGCTGGCTTGATTGCATTCAGACATTACTTTGGTGAGGAAATGACTGCATTAAATTAGCATCAAGCACAATAAATGGTAATTGCAAGACTGTCATTTCTACAAGTGCAAAATTAATGTGTTCTGCAAGCCCCTTCCATTGTGTGCCACATGAAAATCATGGAACCCTGTTGTTCTGAGCAGAAAAATGCCCTGTAGCAGCACTGTTAATGTGCTGTGGTATTATTCAGCAATGGTATTCCTCTCCACCTTTGTTGTTGTCTCACGCTCATTCTTCAAACCCTGCCTGCCCTAATTTGTATGCTCATATTATAGCACTGCCAGACAGTAGCCTGCATGTACAGAGAATGTAATGGAACAATTCCTCCTTCTGTGTGTAGCATCTTGTGTGAATAATGCCAGCGTAAACAACCTCCATGTATTCATGAGAGTGTGAATAGGCTACTTATGTAAAGCTTCTTATTAAGAGATGCACCAACCATTTACAGAAAACTTTACCCAAACGCTATACATTCATTAGAAAGAGAAGAGTGATTTACATGCATTTCAATTGTAGCTTAGGAAAAGTGCCAGCTTCTCTCTTCATCTCTCTTGTTTATATATGGGAAATTAAGTCACATACAGTGACTAACACTGTACTAACAGATGCTGTAAGCTGACCAATGAGATGAGGTATTTCGATATTCCTGCCGTTAAGCTGAGAACCACTCATAAAGGCATCCTGAGTAAGAGTAATAATGATGATAGTGACAAAGACTGACCAAAGGAGCTTCCTTGCAAGTCCAGCTGGAATCCAGTCTCTTACTTAGCACCCATGGCGGCCTGGGGGACGTCAAGACACTGGGCTGCACTGGCTGGTTTACTATAGCAATCGATTGATCAGTCGATCGATTGGAGATCCTGATGTGGAGGGTCAGGCTTCAGTCCCCACGCAGAGGCCACTTATTTTGTCACTTACAAAATAAGTGATGAGGCTGTTTGCTTTGTAATATTTCAGTCAGTGAATAATTTGCTGGAGTCTGGGGGAAATTCTGCACCACAATCAAAACTTCTCTTATCAAACAAAAATGATTAGGGAATGATTTAGGAAACTTCCTACCTAAGGTGGGAGAAAAATTCAGATCGCCTTAACCTCAGAATAAAATACCCTTGTTCATAAGCTGAAAAATCATTCAATAGAAGATCTGGGCTTCAAAAGATGTGCAAATAGCTCTGGAAACTGGTTCTGCCTTACCTTTGTTGCAAAATGTTCCATCGTATGCCGTATTAGAGCAATCGCAGGAATAACCGTGGTACTTCTCTATGCATTTGCCTCCATTTTCACAGTTCGTTCCGTAGCTGGTGCAGTGACCCGAACATCCGGATATGAACCCGGATGTGACCTTTGCTCTTTCCTCCAGGTCGAGTGTCACTCCATTCATCCGCAGGGAACGGATGCATCCCAGGAAGCCCTGTTGGCCCCCAGCGCCACCTGGGAATGACAGAAAGCACGAAATTCAGATGGACTAAACTCTGCTATTGCCTGTTTCATTCATAGTCTTTTGATCAGTTGCCGTAGGAGACGAGACTGCTTAGTGCATCTAGTATTGTCACTTTCAAGTTGGTCCTGTCTAAATAGAAAAGCTTGAAGCTTTTCCCCTTCAGGCCATAATACCTAATTAAAAGAGGCTGTCTTCTGAGAAGCAATACATCTGCTACAGAAATAAAATGTTTGGAGATACACAAAAATTACATAAACAGTTTTGGAAGTCTAATCTGGCTTCCTATAGAAAAGAGGTTTATAGAAATCTCTAGGTTCTCTGCTCTTTAATCTCACAACATTCAGTTCTATTGCATTGTCTATTGGAAGAAATATAAAACGGCAGAGAGACATGAATATATTAGCATAGTTAACTAGTCAATTAGTTAGAAGGCATAAATCCATTTGAAATGCAATTGTACATCTTGGTGCTTGTCTCATGAAATGCTTTGCTTTGAAGTTCACGTTAAGGGTGTCCAAGGCTTCCTGTCTGAAGTAGCTAGAAGTTGGAATTGACAATTTTACACAGAAGTTAGCTACACCACATTTATTACAAGGTTAGTTCAGATTTCATTGTTTTTGTCTAAATGTCACTGCAAGACATATGGCACAATGAGCACGTTTACTGTGATTTTTGGAGTAAGTTAGACTTAGACTAAGGTTCATGAGCATGAAAATATTAAAATATTCCTAACAAATTTCATAGAAAGATTCATTGAAGCATTTATATTACAAGTGGATTTAATTGTGTCTGTAATATCCTTAGCTAAGATTTTTTTAAAAAGCAGTTAGTGTAAAAAAGGAGGAATTCAAATGTATATACATGTCTGTATCTTAGAGTAACAACTTTTCTGGAAACTGATCTAAAATGAATAGGTAAAATTATTGAAAGAAATATCTGATGAGGATTTAGAGAAAAAGATACTGCTATTAAAAATAAAACCCAAGTTACTCTTCTATTTAGGGCTATGTGCTAGGTACTAAGCACTTTATTTATGTTATTCACCTGATCCTGACAACAAGTGGTCAACACAGGTATTATTTTCATCATCTGCATTGTACAGATGAGAAAACTGAGACTTAGGGAAGTTAATAAGTTTACTTAAGGACTCACAGCTCTTGAGTGGCAATTGTATCAGATTTGTCTTGTTCCAGAGCCTACGGTCTTAAACTCTGTTCTGTGTTGACTGTCTAATACAGATAAGAACATTTGGGTCAGGGGTCCCCCATATATATGTGTTTCTGGGATATAGATTTGGATGTATTTAAAAATGGAGTAGTCAGTAGATTTGTTGGAGTTTGGGTAAGAATGGTAGGCTGGTGATTGATTCCCGTCGCTTAATTCTATCATCCTGAGGAAAAGTGTACACACCAGTAGACTCATCGGACAAGACCGGCAGACAAAGACTTTAGAGGCAGGGATGGATAAGCATCTGCCTGTGCCCATAAATTCTCATCAATGAAATGGCAAATGAATTGCTCTATGGTCTTTATAAACCCAAGCTGTGAGGTTCTCTCCTTGGGTGGTATCTTGATTTGACTGATGATTCTTCTATCTTACTTTTTTTATAAAATTTTTCAATAGAGGATTAATTGAAGAGAGTCCAGTGCCATTTTTGATCAAAACTATGGGATAGCAGATGGCAAAAGAAGTTATTAAAAACAATCCACTTTGAAGGATTTCCTATTTTTTCACTTGCTTGTCAGCTGGGCTTCACACCTCTGTGCAGAAGAGAATTAGAGTCTTTGCCTGATTTGGAAGAATTTCAACCCATTAGTCACTCTTGCTGTGTTAGAATTTCAATTTAGCTTCTATCATTTTAGCCACTGTGGCTTTTGCTCTTGCTTTCCAAAGGGCCTTTTATTAAATAAATGCCTAGTTATTTAAAGTTTTATCACTAGTCAATTAAGACAATTATATCCTACCAAAAGATGCTGCAATTTTTAAATCATTGTTTTAGATCTCCCCCTCTCCTTTTGCCTGATTACCAATGTCATAGTTTTTCATGTGGAAACCGTGAACATACTGACAAGCAAAATACAAAAGAGAAACCGTACGCCACCCAGATATAACTACTTCCACTTTTAGGGAATAGTCTTTCCTACTTTTATCTATAAACATACATATGTATAAAAAATAAAACAAAGGAAGAACTGAGTGCATAATATATACATTGTTTTGAAATTTGCTTTTTGCACTTAATATATCATGAAATATTTTCTAATCAATGTATAACTAGAACATCTTGTTTAATATCTGTATTCCATTCTGTGAATGCACTATCACTTTTTTTTTTGCTATTCCACTACCATTGGACTTTTAAGCTTTTTCCAACTTTCATTTTATGTGATATAATCTTTGTAAAAACCTTTGTACACTTTTCCCATTTTTTCTTAGAATTGATTTCTTAGAATTAATTAATTACACTTTTAGGTATAATTGCTGAGTTCAAAGGCATCTTGCATTTTAATGGCATTTGAAATGTATCCTCCTCTGGAAGAGTTTACTAATTTATATTTCACCAGCAGAGTATGAAATTACCACCTTCTCCACACCAATTCTAATACTGGTCAGTATCCTTTTGAGTTTATGTCAATCCAATTAACTGAGGAAAAAAAAAAGTTTACTGTTTTAATTTGCATTGCTTCAAATACTGTGAGTTGAATAATTTTTATGTTTTCTCTTTTCTTTTCTTAAAATTATTTCTTCATATCCTGTACTTTTTGTGGGGGAGTGGGGAGAAGGAGGATATATTTCTTAACGATTGATAACAATATCTTAGGCTTTAACTTTTTGTTATAGGTGTTACAACTATATCCTTTACTTTGTGTCTTTTAACTTATACATGTGTTTCTTTTTCCCCATGAAAATATAGATGTTTATGTAGTTACATCCATCTGTCTTATTTGTGTGACTTCTGCCTTTGGTAACAGGCTTGTAAAGACCTTCTCTAATACAAAATAATATAATTATTCAACAATATTTTCTTCTAGCACTTTTGTGATTTTACAGACAGATTAACCATTAATCTGTCTGGAATATATTTTAATTTGGAAATAATTCATATTTAATGGATTCTCAGCAATGATTGAGAGTTTGAAGAAAAGATTTTTAAAAGACTCCAGGTAAATGTTAACGTGACAAAGAACAGAGACTTAAAAAGGGTCAATTGGCAGAGCAAGTAAATCTAGATTAGATCATATTTTATTATATCATGAAGACAAAAATTTAGATAGATGTATGTATACTTAATTATTTATGTATACAGGGCTCATTCCAGAAGGGATTTTGCAGGGGCAGAGTTTTCTTATTCTGCCTCTGTCTTGGGTCTTGAGTCTTTCCAAGGTTCTACATCTACCAGTCTCTCTTCCTGCATTCGTGTTTGTGGATCTCTGCCTACTGGGACTGTTGACTGTTTCTAGTTAGTTGTGTGGCTTCCAACAAATAGCTTAATCTCTCTCAGCATCAGTTTTCCCATCCATAAAAACGGTGAAACTAGATGATGTCTCCCATTCCTTTCAGCTCTAAATGGCTCTGGCCCATGAGTTACAAGCTCTTCCTTTGCTCTTACGTGTCTGCCCCTCTGTATTTCAGTAAATACTGTCAATTTCTCTTAAATTTCTTTCTTTCTTCCTTTTTTTCTTCTTTTTTTAACTGGCTGTAACATATGACTGTAGTCTAATTTGTATCTGTTACATTCATTAAGTAAAATTTTATACTCTCTCTTCTTAATTTGTAAAGCAGTTGAGTAAAATGCCATTTATTTCTGTATAAAGGAAAACTAAATAAATTAAGCTTTTTTCTTACTTAGGTGGTCTTTGATTTATTTGAATGGATCAGTGAGCTGGTAAGTACTTTTCTTGATCTAGTCAATATGAAGAAAAATCTTTTGTCCTGAAAATGGTCATTATATATTATGTAAAAGACGTTAATGCACTAGAACCAGTGATAATTATTTGAGTTCCACTTATGTGCTCTGTAGAAATCTTTCCTGGTGACAAATGTCATAAGTTTAAATTATAGGTCTTCAACCAAAAATGCTATTTAACCTTTGTTAATTAGAAAATCAACACATTGTCATTGGAGAGAGCCCCCTGCCATGCAAGGGCTTTATGCTCATTAGTCAGACCTGTGATAATTATGCAAGGTGCAATGTGGGATTAATTTGTAAATCATTTTTTTATGTGAAATGCTTTGCAAGTATTGCAATTAAAGATTAATTATGAAAATGCAGTAACAACCCATAATGAATAATGCCACCATCAAATACATAAAAGATTGGGGAAAAATAATCAGGTATTAAATTAAACAAAAATGGCAATAATGATTGAGATGAATTATAAAAACTACATTGTCCTCAACCTCAGAACTTAATAGTTTTCTAAGGATCTAAGTTGAGTCCCAGAGCAACTTTGCCCAGAAAGACTGGCCACCAATTTGCCATAGAAAGGAGTCACACCAGAGCCCATACACATGAAATCTAATTTATCCATTCAAAAAATATTTATCTCATGCCTACTATGAGTTAGGCTCTGTTTTATTTTGTTACTTTAAAAAAATTTTATTTTTAATTATTATGGGTACATAATAGTTGTATATATTTATGGAGTACATGTGATGTTTTGATACAGACATACAATGTGTAATAATCAAATCAGGGTAATTGGGCTAACTATCACCTGAAGCACTTATCATTTCTTTGTGTTAGGAACATTCCAATTCCATTCTTTTAGTTATTTTAAAGTATGCCACAACTTATTGTTGACAATAGTTACTTTGTTGTGATATCAAATATTGTTCATTTTATCTAACTACATTTTTGCACCCATTAACCATTCCCATTTTATCCCCCACTCCCTGTTACCTTTCCCAGCCTCTGGTAACCATCATTCTACTCTTTGTCTCCATGAGATCAATTATTTTAATATTTAGCTCCTACCTATGAATGACA